TTGTTATTCTTAGGTTTCTTTTCCACTATTTTTATTATTATTGTTTTTTTTTCTTACCCATTTTGTGCACGCGAGTTCTCGGAAACGGCTCGCTTGATTTTCATGAAACTTTCAGGACTGATAGAACATCAAACAAACCTGATATATAATTTTTTGTTTTGATGACGTCACTTCCGGTTTTGAGATTTTCGCGATTTAGTGATTTTCAGATGGTCACATTGTCCGCGAGTTTTCTCAAAAACGGCTTATGATAGAAACTTGAGTTTTTCAGCAATGATGGAGCAATCTATGTAGATGTGACATACGCATTTCATTTTTACCGCAAGTGCTGCACGCCGACGCTCGCTATGGTCCGAAAAAGGGCATGTCAAAAATTTTAAAATTTCTAACACTTTTTCTTCGATATCTTTTCCCATACAAATATTTCGTCAAGACATATAGAACAAAAGAAGTGTAAAATTACTTGATCTTTCAAACGATATCTCGAAAAAAGGGCTGGCCCCTATAATAAAGGGCTGAGAGGGGACAAACATTTTTCCTTTATATCTCAAAAAGTATTTATAATTTGTGATACGTCAAAGAAGCAAAGTTGTTAAAAATGCTAAGCTGAATCTATCTAGGTCGTCAAAATACATCCGGCGACGTCACTTCCGGTCAAACCGGAAGTAGTATGAAAATGCATATCTATGCCGTTCTTGACATAATTTTGGGTAACACATGTCACTGGAAGCATAAAAACTTAATTTTCCGTCCGTCGAAACCACTTCCGGTCAAACCGGAAGTAGCCCAAAATAGCTTATTTTTTAAGGTTTTGACGCAAAATTGAAATTATAATGTCACTGGAGACTTCTTATCTCATTGCTTTCTTTTGTTCCTTCACTTCCGGCACTTCCAGTCAAAACAGGACGGAAGACCTACTCGTTGCTTTGCAACGAGCTTTGCTCTAGTTATTATTATTATTATTATTATTTTTCTTACCGATTTTGTGCACGCGATTTCTCGGAAACGGCTGGACCGATTCTCACCAAATTTTCAGATCTGATAGATATTTATCTGAACCTTGTCGGAAATTTTTCGTAAGTACGTCGTCACTTCCGGTCGTGAGATATGGACGATTTACTGATTTTTAGAGGGTCAGCTTGTCCTGAGATCTCCTCCTAAACGACTTAAGATATCGACTTGAGATTTTCAGTGAAGGTAGAGGAAGGATAGTAGATGTGACATTTTGCATATAGAGCTTTCCAGGTAAAAAGGCATCGACGCTCGCCTGGGATCGAAAACAGCCTCATGCTCATCTCGCAAAAATTGACACGTTTTCTTTTATATCTTTTTACCTGTTAATATTTTGTTAAGACATATATAATAAAAAATATGCAATATAGTACGACCTTTCATTTGATATCAAGTAAACGGGGTTAGTCCTTCAAATTAGGGGCATAGAGGGGGCAAAAGTCTCTCGTCTTTAACTTTTTTGTTTTTCAATATTTTCAAATGATATTAGTATAGTTGATAGAAACATTTCTTATTAGGCTGAATATATAATTTGTTTGTAAATTTATAAATTCAAACTCGAGATAATAACATTCAAAAATCTGAAGCGGGAACTAAATGGCGGCGGTCTCTGTCAATTCCGACATTTCGCAATAGCAGTTAACAGAGGCAGCCGAGCGTTTGCTTGAACGAAAGTAACATAAGGAGCAATGAAATGTGTAGGGATACTTGGATTGTCACGTCGTAGGTTCGTTGCAATTCTGCGTCAAACTACATTCATAATCCAAGGTCTCCTTACAAGTTTTCTTTAATTGGTTTTGGTTGTTTCTCAAAGTAGAAAAAAGAAAAGAATTAATGTGCAAATTAAGTACGCATTGATGATATTATCTAAATCAAAAGGATTTAATCAAAATAGAAAAGGCATGATTCCATGATGTTTTATCAAAGATCATAGTCAAAGTCATATCTCATCTTATCGAAAATTCGGACGGAAGACCTACTCGTTGCTCGCAACGAGATCGCATCTAGTTATTATTATTTTTTTTCTTACCGATTTTGTGCACGCGATTTCTCAGAAACGGCTGGACCGATTCTCACCAAATTTTCAGATCTGATAGATATTTATCTGAACCTTGTCGGAAATTTTTCGTAAGTACGTCGTCACTTCCGGTCGTGAGATATGGATGATTTTCTGATTTTTAGAGGGTCGGCTTGTCCTGAGATCTCCTCCTAAACGACTTAAGATATCGACTTGAGATTTTCAGTGAAGGTAGAGGAAGGATAGTAGATGTGACATTTTGCATATAGAGCTTTCCAGGTAAAAAGGCATCGACGCTCGCCTGGGATCGAAAAATAGCCTCATGCTCATCTCGCAAAAATTGACACGTTTTCTTTTATATCTTTTTACCTGTTAATATTTTGTTAAGACATATATAATAAAAAATGTGCAATATAGTAAGACCTTTCATTTGGTATCAAGTAAACGGGGTTAGTCCTTCAAATTAGGGGCATAGAGGGGCCAAAAGTCTCTCGTCTTTAACTTTTTTGTTTTTCAATATTTTCAAATTATACTTGTATAGTTGATAGAAACATTTCTTATTAGGCTGAATATATAATTCGTTTGTAAATTTATAAATTCAAACTCGAGATATTAACATTCAAAAATCTGAAGCGGGAACGAAATGGCGGCGGTCTCTGTCAATTCCTACATTTCGCAATAGCGGTTAACGGAGGCAGCCGAGCGTTTGCTTGAACGAAAGTAACATAAGGAGCAATGAAATGTGTAGGGATACTTGGATAGTCACGTCGTAGGTTCGTTGCAATTCTGTGTCAAACTACATTTATAATCCAAGGTCTCCTTACAAGTCTTCTTTAATTGGTTTTGGTTGTTTCTCAAAGTAGGAAAAAAGAAAAGAATTAATGTGCAAATTAAGTACGCATTGATGATATTATCTAAATCAAAATGATTTAATCAAAAGAGAAAAGGCATGATTCCATGATATTTTATCAAAGATCATAGTCAAAGTCATATCTCATCTTATCGAAAATTCGGCCGGAAGACCTACTCGTTGCTCGCAACGAGATCGCATCTAGTCTTTTTCTTACCGATTTTATATGACATATTGTATTAGAAAAGGAGAGGAATTCACTAAGTTATTTAGAACTTGTTTCCAATCCCTTTTGATTGATATCAATAAACTATTTTTTAATCAATATTTTATTATGTTAGATTACATAATTGGATTGGACATCAGGCATGGCCTATATAAGTCCTCTCCTAGGTCAAGGTTACAAATGTTAAGAATATTGACAATAATTTACAATGATGGAATAATACTTATTAAGTTACATTATTTTCTTTTCTTAACTATATATGGGAAAACAATCAATAAACTATGTTCAAAACAACAAAACAATGCTAATTTGCATATGAAACACAGAATCCAACAATACTCCTATAACACTAACCAATCATATTGAAGGATTGTTTACCACAGCGGAGTCACTAGCAACACGTGGTCAGTCGATAGCCTGTTTTGGCTGTCCGCCATTGAATATTGTTTACTGCATTCTCGTAAACAATAATCATTCAGTACGATTGGTCAGTATTGTACGTGGTATTGCTGGGGTCTATAATTCATATGCAAAGTAGTATTTCTTTCATTGAAATCAAACATCCAATAGATGGGTAATATCATGGTATTCAACATGTGAAACCATTGGAGTCGGAAGCAAATTTGAAGGGGGGGGGGGGTAATTCACAGAGAAAAAGAACTCAAACCGGAAAAAAACTTGACAAGCAATATTTCGGAGGTCCCCCTCCCCCAAGGAAAACCATTATTACAGGCCTCTATCAATCTGTGTCTGGATAGCTGAATAACAAATTATTTTGCGAGCCTTGATGCACAAAACTAAAGCCGGTGAAGACTTGCTCTATCTTTTAAAAGCTAGAAATAGCAGGGACCTATATACTATAGTTAGTATACTAGTATAGGTCCCTGGAAATAGTAGGCCTAGTTGGTTTTTTAAAATTAAGTCTTAAGTTATCTATAGATACATGTCATTTTAGTATATTGAGGGGATAAAAAAAGGAGGGATGGAGAAAAAGAATCAAACCGGAAAAAAACTTGACAAGTTCTTTCAAGGAAACTTTTTAAAATGCTTGTGTCATAGCTGAATAACAAATTATGTTTAGTTTGTATATAAAAGTAAATGTCTATCTTTTAAAAGAGAGAAATACTATAGTTAGTATACGTCCCAATTAAGTTGGAATAATTATATAAATACAAGTTCTTTCTACTTTTTAAAATGCTTGTGTCATAGAATCAATGTTTAGTTTGTATATAAAAGTAAATGTATAAGAGAGAAATTCGTATACGCCAATTAATGAATAATTATATAAATACGATAATTATGCAGATTTTAAAAGCGACATTTGCCAATGACTGGCATATTCTGATGAAATTTCAGGATTTAGGTTGCCAAATTATGAAAGCTAAAAATATGCCGACTATTAATTAGAGCTTGTCTTTAAAAACTTTATTATCTTGGTTTGCAGAATGCATCTTACGTTTTAAGTGCTTGGTGAAGCTATCTGCTTCACTAGCTTTAAATAGCAGGTTTATTTTCCTGAGAAGGCTAATCATCTTGCATAAATTATTTTCATAAACAATGATAAAATTACCAAAATATCCTATGAATTATACATTTTCCATGTAAAAAGAAATGAATGCATTAGTTACTCTATAATTTGGAACAATGCGCTATCTTTTGTGATGGAACTATTAGGCCTATAAAAGACACCAGTGAGTAAGCAATATTCTTGGGCAAAACAAATTGTGCTGAATGACAATAACCATAATAAAGGATTCACATCTACAGGTATTGTATCATTAGTTCAAATTATTAAAACCTTAAATCAATCAGTTACTAATTTACTACTTGCACTTGCTTTCCTTTACACAGATTTGAATTATTGCGCCAAGTGAACTATTTGATGATGTCATACAATGGCGCCTACATGCGCTTACTGTAACGCTAGTTGTCATGTTATAATACTTTATGGATTAGCTGATAACATCAATGAAACACCTGTAAGTGCATTTTTATATTACGCCTAATTGATAATAGAAGCACAAGATAAACAATTTAAGAACATAACCTTGTCAGGTATTAAAAAAGACTTAGGCATAGCATGTTGGATGAACAAGTAGTAGTAGGGGGCTAGGGGCCTAGTGGAAGTACAAGTACATGGAAGTTTTGTAAGAGGATCGTCGCAAACCACGGTTTTGAGTCCGCAACGTCCCACAACGTCGCCTGGGATTAGAATAGTATAAACAAAAACAAACAATGGCATGATTCGTGACATATTCTGAAACTGTAACGATAAAATCTACCCCATCTAGGCCTATCTATTGAATGACAAAGAATATACATGTATTACACATGGAAGTATAAACTCTGCAATGAAACAAAAGATATTACTATGAAAATGAAAAATTCATTTGTTGAAACGCATGAACTATTGTGGCATTTGTGCAATTACTTTAAATCACGATAATTTGACTTATTTGGTAATCCCCCTCCCCAAAAATCATTGATACTGCGGTATTACACATGGAAGTATAAACTCTGCAATGAAACAAAAGATATTACTATGAAAATGCATTTGTTGAAACCACATTGTGGCATTTGTGCAATTACTTTAAATCACGATAATTTGACTTATTTGGTAATCCCCCTCCCCAAAAATCATTGATACTGCGGTCCTTGCATGCTTACATGCACCACAGGTACTTGTGGACAGGACCCCCACCCCCTTGATAACCCCGGGGCTTATTTGACCTTTTTTTTCACATTTATTAGGCCCTAACACTTATTCAACATGTTTGCAATAGGAATAAATCGTGAAACCCCCCAAATAATCGCTCCACAAAAAAATACCCCAGTATACATTATAGTGGAGTATTTTTTTAATTATGAAAATTCAAAAAAAGTCATGCGTCGGTGCTTACACGAGCTGCAGAACTGTAACTCTACGAACAAATACCAAGTCACTTTGTCAGGCAAGTGCAACTTTTTTGTGAGCAATAAATATACATTTTTTTTTCAATGGCTGGCACTGTAGCCCTCCAGTCTATTAATATATTTTTCGGAGAGCTACAGATCTGCAGTTATGCTTAAATGTACCCACGCCTGCAAAATAGGGATTTTTTATTGAAATATATATTGGGAACTATCTATTTGTGCTATAAAGACAAGCGTCTGGATGATCGAGACTAAGTCTGAACCGGATGCTTATGACGTTGTTACTATGACGTCACAATTACTTTTGTTTATCGCAAGACAGTCGTGCATCAATAATGGTGAGTTTTTACTTTTGATTACTGTTTAATGTCCCTCTCGAGAACTAAATCCGGAGTCTTACATGCATATTCCAACAAACCATGTTACGCACTCTATGCTTTTTAGTAGGGCTGGGACGATACAACTTTTTCTATATCGATACGTATCACGATATTTGATCCACAATACGATATCACGATATGTTTAATTGCTTAGAAAATTTTCTTTTTTTGGCATTGAAATAAATAAATTATTTCTATGCAAATAAGAATAATTTATTCAAAATAGTTGTTTATACGTTGTAAAACAAAAATACTTTACTCAAGTGGAGTTAATTATTATTTATTTCACATCTATATTTATATTTAGCTTATTTATTTTATATACTAAACCCCAAATGTTAAATAAACAAAGAAAAATAGAGAAGTAAGATTTTTTGGGCGATATTTCGATATTTCTTCATATGTATCCTAGGAGACACATGATACAGGTCGAGTAATCAACCTTGGTTGGGTTACCCGGGGATTGAGTTTCTCTGTGCTTGCTATATTTATATTTTTCATTTATAAATTAGTAACTAATGTGCTTTAATTGTTAATTCTAGGAAAAGATGAATCGATTACATGTCGTGTCTGAATAGGTATAAAGCTTAATTATGCGAGTACTGTATACGACGGTGTAAGAATGCCAAGTTTTTAAATTTGCCTAGATAGCCCAGCGGTCTAACACACTGTTCTTGCACTGTTGATAGACATATTCCGCCTGTATCCCTAGAATAGATATAATCATGTGTACCTTATAAATCATAAATATGCAGTGGGAAAAAGGGGGGTGGTAAATAATTTATGCAGGAAATGGTGTGATAAATGAAATAAATTGAGACTTCAAGCAGTATTAGTCGCAACTTTGATGATCTATTAAAAAATTTTTGTTGCATTATTGCAATATATATTGTAATAATTAATTATTTCAATGACAGAAAAAAGAACATCATTAAAGTTCTGTTGTTCATTTTTGCGATGGATGAACTATTTTTATGATTTAAATGAAGAAATATTACAATATTGTCGTCCTGTACGAAATAATTCCTTATTTAATTTTAAAATATACATCCCATTGTACAGAAGACTTTCGTAATAAAAAAAAATCATACAGGTTTATCAAAATAGCACAATTTCCATGTAACAGCAAAAAAATCTCCAAAATACTTTAATAGAGCTCGTACTGGTTTAAGATTAAATCTTAGTACTCACCCTTTAATTAAACCTTTTTTTTAACTAGGCTGAAAAAGACAAAAGTCCCGAGAGAAGAGGAAAAGAAAATGACCAGGAGCTGCCTGATGCTCCGAATCCCAGGCAGCTCCTGTCAATCATTAAGGAGCAACGAAAGGTACGAAGATTTTAATTTTTTCCAATTAGATATATTTTTTCCATTTTGTTTTTAATTTTTAAATTTTTGTCCCCAATCGGTGTAACCGGAGTTGACTTATAATATCCTTTGCGTCTGTCCGTTTGTCTGTTCAGGGCTTAATAACCCTTGCATACAGGGCCTGTAAAAGCAGCAGTAGCTTCATTGTGTCAAATATCTCCATTTTTGGACATTCCGATAGGAGGGGGGGGGGGTTACAGTACACGTCCACAAATGTATACACACTCTTTCTCTTTATAAAAATTTAACGTTAGAATTAAGAACATTGGGTTTATGCCTATATTAAAAATGGTATAAATCTGCAAATCTATGACAGATTGGAGCTACAATGAGAGATGTCCCCTCAACTTTTGGAAAAGTAACCGAGATGACAGTTAAAGGCCTCAAGAAAAATATACTTGTATACAGTGGACCTTCAGATATCCGGACGCCAGATATCCGGATGCTTCAGTATCCAGACGAATTTTCATTTTTTTAAAATGAATTTTTAACGTTATTTTGTCTTGTTTAACTGGTAATTCAAATATCTGGACACCTCACATATCCGGACAAATTGACTAGGAACCAAAGCGTCCGGATATGTGAGGCTCCACTGTATATGAATTCGATATAACGATTTGTCGTTTTAGTAGAATTGGTTTTAAAAAATTAAAAAGTTGTTTAAATGAATTCAATTCGTTATAAAAGTTTCAGAATTTGGTGAGACCAGTTTAAATTCGTACAATTCGTGTATTAATTAACAAATTTTTTATTCGTTATAATGAATTCAACATCTTTTTTTTTTAATAACATTGAAATTCATCATAACGAATTCAAAGAAAATTTTATTACGAATTAAATTCTTTACAAATTTGACAATTCATTCTATCGAATTCAGCAATATTTTGGGATAGGTCCTAAATGGACTTCCCTTCCATAAAAAAGACATGATCATATTTTAATTTTTTTTTTATTTTAGGCTCCAAGAAGACAAAGTGAGTGCGTAGTAGTAAACGTAAGGGATAGAACCGCCACAACAAAGAAAGTAAAATTCATAATCCCACTCGAAAGTGCTGAAGAGCAAAGCTGTATTCAGGTCACAGCGGTAAAGTATTCATTGTTTAAAAGTCTTCTGCCTAGTACATGTATCTCAGAGACAAAATTATTAAAATACCATCAAACTAGAGGTATTGTGAGCAATGAACTCACTAAATGATACTAAATGACGCCTCCCATAATGTCCATGTGTTGCTATATATTGTTTTACGGTAATGTGTAAAGAGGAATAACTCGTCTTATCAAATGTTATCCAGAAGCTTCTATATGTGACGTCATAGGTGAACATATAATGGCAATGTCCATGTTTTGCTATGGGAAACCTAAAATACGTGTCGAATAAAAAAGTAAAATAAAAGGTGCACAATGGCAATATGTAATAAAGATTCTGTGAAAGTTTCATTAAATTTCACTCTGACAGTAATATAAGAGGAGTTGCGGATAAGAGATAAAGCGTAACAGATGGACGGACGGAAATCCCGATTACTATATACCCTCCCACTTTTCAAGCAGGGGTTATAACAAAGTGTGCTCAACATGACTATAAAATTGTTTATCTGTACGTCATGTAACTATAAGGGATATATCAGAGAAAAAAAGCTTCATAAGTTAACAGTCTTGTTATATATTTAATGAGTTAGTCAGAGTTTGCTTTAATGGTCCCAGAAATTATCAAGAATTTTTTCGTGAAATGTTTATTCAAATAGTTTTGAAATATATTTGTTATAGTTTGAAACCTTTTTTTTATCAAATAACAACACTTACTAACTTCTTATTTTATAAGAAGTTTTCATGAATATTTTACTCTTTGTATGCGTCTGCTCACTCGCTTAAGTTCAAAATTTGTGCTGCCTAATGCCTTATTGTCTATGTTCCCTATATAAAAGTTTTAAAACTTCTGTTACACTGTATATATCTACTCTCGTTTCATCAGGGACAAAATATTAGATATAAAATGAAAAGAATTTTATTGACAAATGTTGAGACTGTTAAGACTAGAATGAACCTCCAGTTTTTTCCACTCTGTGTTGTGTTTTCTGAGAAAATATCCAAGTCTTCTATAAGTATAGGACTATAAAACAAACTCGATCTTCTTTCTCCTTCCCTGAATTCCTCTTCTTTTTTGATATTTTGCACTATACAGAACAAAGTAGATAGTGAAACAGAAAAATATCCAGATTTAACAACCTTAAATAGGCGGAGTATATAAAACAAGCTAATTCAGAGAATTCGTGTCCCCCGCTTAGGGAAAAAAGAAGAGCATGTGCAGTTCGGGGGGATCGAATCCCCCATCCCTGAGTGTGTAGAAATATTAAATTTATACATGTTAATTTAAGCAAATAAAAAATACCGATATTGATATAAAGATTTGATTGGTTATTCTTTATTTTGTGTATAAAAGATTCTTTTTATATAGAATATTTATCGACACTGTAATGATGATTTTTTGAGTTTGTGCAAGCGGTCGTCATAACGTTTTTACTTTTCATTTCACATGCTGGATACTTTCATGTAGTAAATAAAAGAAAAGGCGATTATCGAACCCGGAACCTCTTACATGTTGGGTGAGAGTCATACCCCTACACCATGGAGGTACTTGCATGTACCGCAAATTAATGAAAACATAAGGTTACATATATACTCACTTTCAATATTGTCAAAATTTAGCCTTTACTAAAAATTACGAACTTGAACTTTGATCTTTTTACCTCAAAATCAATAGGGGTCTTCCTCGGGTCTCAGGGAGTTGTTATGTAATATTTCATTGCAAATGCTCAAAAAATTTTCTAGATATCAAGCAAAGACGAAAGTGTTAAAACAGACAAAATTTATTTATCTATGACCTTTGGAAGTCGATCGGGCTCTCCTTTAGGCCATAGGGATTTGCTATGCACAATTTCATTCGAAAGCTCAAAGGCTTCTTAAGATATCGCGCGGAAACGAAAGCGTTACAGACAGAAAGAAATACGGACAGACGGACAGACAGACCTAAATTTAATATCCCCCACTTTCAGTAAAAGCGTTGGGCAATAAATGGGAGGTTATCCGATGAATCATTTGAAATAACGATGTTTGGTGACATTCATTACATTCAATAAAATAGAAACATTAAAAAAGTATATTGTATGTTCTAAATCCAAAATTTTTAGATAAATATTTTATAAATTCCGAAAAATTTCTCAATAATTTCTAGGAATACTTATCTTCGCTACGCATTAGCCAAGGATTTTCCACTCCACTCCCCATCTTCACTAGCCAAGGGTTTTCGGTCCACTCCACTCCCCATCTTCTCGGGTTTTCGGTCCACTCCACTCCCCATCTTCTCTAGCCAAGGGTTTTCGGTCCACTCCACACCCTATGGGGGGAGTGGACCAAAACCTCTGGCCAGCGAAGATGAGGAAAACTATTTCAACTTTAATAAATTTCCTGCTTTTTTTAAGACTGAGAAGGGGGTCTTTGTTACAAGTGTCCTTAGAGACGAGGTACAGAATGAAGAAGTGATTCTAACAAGCGGACAAGAACTTCTGACCAAGCTGAAACTGACACTGGAAAAGGAAACGGTACTTTTCAAATAAAAAAATGAATATTTTTATCTGTAATCTTTTGCTGTCTGATTTCGCCCGTCGTCGTGCGTTAACATTTTAAAATTTTCAGCTTTTCATATCACAATTGTTTCTATCTGTCTATGGGAAATACTATAGTAGTACCCTTTATACGATATCATGTTCATTCTAGTAAAATTGTGGGGAAATGTGTTTTGAATTCATTTCATCGGAAGTTTGGTACTGGAATAATCTGAATTTTTTTTCTCTTGTAGCCATTCACATCTAGAAGATCAGACGAATTAAGAGCCTCTTTTAGATTTTTTCCGAAACTCGGAACGGTTAAAGTATGTAAAGTTAATATCATTCAAAATGCATTTCCTAAAAAAAAAAAATAAATACAAGTCTAGGACATGTTTGAAAATGTTTTTTTTAAATAAACAAATTCGTAAGTTATGTGTACAATAGCAATTTTAAACCAAATCATTAATTTTGCAAAATTTTACAATCAACTTATGTTGCTAGTCTTAGTCGTAGGTTCTTTTTAAAAATGGCCCCTTGTGGAATCAATTATATATAAATTTATTATCATGACAGGAAGACGACGAATTTCAGGTCCGTGCAGATGACAGGAGATACGGATTAATCCAGTCCGATTCGGAGGCGGGGATCTCCGACTCCGGATCGGACTGGTCGGGCCCGGATGTCTACATGGAAGTACGTAACATTAATAGGACAATTTTCACTTTAGCTTGGACTTTCAGTAAGGCGTGGCATTCTCAACGCTACATAATTAGCTTTTGAAATTTACACCGCTTTCTTTCACTGTTGAAATATACATGGGATAGAAAATCTGGCAAATGCCAATTAGTGTTTCGAATAACCAATAACATTCTCTCTTCCGGCAAAGAGGTGGAACTTAAGACGAGTTAAGTCGTCCAATCGTTGTCAGCAACAATTTAAAAGTTCCTGATGTTAATAATTTTTCAACCAATAAACATTCCATTTGACAGATGAGAATGCCACGCCTTACTGAAAGTCCAAACTTACCTAAAAATTGTTCTAATTATAGTGAATAAAAAAAAGGAAAGATTTCTTTAAATTTATAATCCAATAAAAAAGGTACTTAAATTACTGAAATTAATTTTACTTCGTACTACTTTTTTGAAGTGTGACTGTGTAACGCCGTTGAAATATCTTCTCTGTTGTCACTGTTGCCGGAAGCGGAGGCCTAGAAAGGTACTGATTTATAAAACTAAAAATGAATTGCTAAACAAATTATGAACTAAAATTAACTAAAATTTGTTTTTCACCTGACTAGACTCCCACATTCTCTGTGAAGTGGGTAGAGGATAAGACAAACACAGGAGGAGAGGTGAAAGACGACACTAGAGTGGACGAATACGAGGAAGACAAACCAAAACATGTAGGGGTAGGTTTTAATTTATTAACATTTGTTGACTTGTTATCTTTTGGTCTTGTAATATTATAAATCAAAATATTGGATTTTTGTTTTTTCCTTAAAGCTCATTAGCACTTCAATTTTAAAACTTTAAATTTTCATTTGACCTTTCAGAAAATGAAGAGATTCAGAAATTTTCTGAAGAGAATATTTTGTTGTGGAAGGTATGTTGAAGGAAACATTGTTCAAATTGTTTTTTGATATATTACATTATATTATAAATTAAACACTTTCCGTTGTAAAAATCTGCTCATTCATTTACGACTGAAGTTCAGATTTAACCCCCTCCCCCTCCAATTTCCACATAAAAATTACATGTATATGTAAGAATTAATAAAAAATTTTATTGAAATATTTTTTTCTGGTATTAAAAGCCAAAAGTTAAAAAAAATGGTCAAAATTTTAGCAAAGATCATGATTTAGTTCGAAAAAAAGCTATTTTAAGCAAATAGGTCTTAGTCAAGGTCACAAGGTCATTGATCTTGGTGTCATTTGAAATAACGTGATTAGTGGAGTATGCATACCAAATATGAAGTCTCTACCCTTCATAGTTCAACAGTTATGGTGAAGGTTCAAAAAAGCTATTTTTAGCATATAGGTCACAGTCAAGGTCACAAGGTCATTGACCTTAATGTCATTTGGAGGAACTTAGTGAAGTATGCATACCAAATATTAAGTCTCTTTCTTTCACGGTTCAAAAGTTATGGCAAAGGTTCAAGTTTGCAGACAAAAAGCTATTTTTAACATATAGGTCACAGTCAGGGTCACAAGGTCATTGACCTTGGTGTTATTTGAAAGAGTGGAGTATGCATACCAAATATGAAGACTATTTCTTTCACGGTTCAAAACATATGGCGAATATTAAAGGTTGCAGACAAGCAGACAGACTGGACAAAAATAATATACGCCCCAGATCTATCGATTGGGGATTTGTGTCGCATAAAAACCTCGACAATCGTTGAAAAGACACTAAGTAATAAGTACGTCTTACAATTGTTGAAATTTTGTCCATTTTGTCCTCTTTCTGAAAAAGGATATAAAATCGGACTAGTTTGTGACGTCATAAAAACAGAAATTGTGAATACACTGCTCTGGAACTATAATATTTTCTGTTAACTTATATTTCTCGTACAATTTATTGAATTCAGCACATTTCAGGAAGTTTTCAAAATTTGACTTTTGTGGGGGCAAACATATGCAATATACCGCATATAGTTCTTTGACTTATCTTGTATATGGGGGAAAAATCACTTTCATCCACAACGTACAATCTTCGTTCTAACACAGTTCATTACATTTTGAACCACGGGTCGTGTGTTCTATGCGAGGCATTAAAAGACGACGATTTTAAAAAAATAAATTAGATCCGAACTCTTTTGTTATGTAGATATAATTCAGTCATAATTTCTTATTCTAAATATTATCGAGACATATGACGTCTGGTCTTAATTCATCAAAATGTTTAACTAACATTGTTTTCAATTGCAGGAAAAACAGTGAGGAATAAAGACCGTCTAGCCTGTTCATATTATTTATTCATTTTTATAAAATAATGTGATTGTTTCTTCTTTCGTTTTGGAAACCAAGGAGAAGACAACGGAGCTATTTAATACCGTATTTTAGATTAGCATTTTATTGGATCTTTTTTTTTATTTGGACGTGTTTTTTTTTTATTTTCTAGAATATTGGCTACAGAGCAGAAAAAAGCTCTGTAGTCAACATTGCTGAATTCATACAATATTTTAAATTCTTCTTTGACTATAAATCAAATATATTTTTAAAATCTGTTAATTGAGGTTCCGTTGTCTTCTTTTTACAAAATTCTTTAAACAATATTGTACAAGTTAAATATGTAATGAAATATGAAATTAAAAACTGCATTGCAAAAATAGACTTTTTGTTATGATGTCAGATACGTGTATGTAATTCGGAAACAACATTTTGTTTTGTTTGTTTGTTTGTTTTTTTTCTTTTTCGGGGGGTAGGGGGTTGGCTTTTTTTTTTCTTTGTGAGATGGTGTTACCAGTATATACTAGTTTTAAAAAAAGTAGGGGATATTGGATTTACAAGGACAATGAAATGCAGGTTATAAATTCAGGAAGTAAACAAATGACAGAAAAAAAATTAAGGACACATTTGTCAATTTATTCGAAATCCTGTGTTCAGTCAGAAAAGGACAGTTTCTCAAGAATAAGCATAGACACGAACATAGGGTCACACAGCAAATGTACCCCCATTGTGAAACAAAATCAGGGTGAACCCCTCTCGGCTAGCCAGACAAACTCCGAATCGGTGTGGCATACTCCTAACGAGACGGCCAAAGTCATTTTGGGGGAGTTTATTCCATTCCTTTTGCAATGTTGCAGCAAGTTCTTGGACATTGTCCGATCTGAAATTGTCAAACATTACAAAATATAAAGATTCAAATCAAAATTTTTATTAGCTTTATACCCAATATAAAACAAAGAATTATTGAACAGTGCACTCAGAATGGCATTTAAATTCATTCAAACATTTCATTCTACTTGCAGCTTTTTCTAATTTTCCCTTAATTCATTTACCATTCACTAGAAGTCATGCTAGTATCACTCCTTTTATCAAGTGATATTTTGAGTGAATAAAAATATAAAAATTATTTGAAAGGAATTATATACTAATCAAGGGCCCATGGGGGCATTTACAATTATATCAGTATGATCACATTTATGTAACATGGAACAATACATGAATGAAATACTAGTATGGGGAGATAACGAACATTATTCGAGTTTAAAAGTCCATTAAACATAACAAAATATAGGAGTGCATTTTTCACGGACCTACATCACACTCAGGTGTCATGGAGGAATGATAGTGCAGCTGCAAGTTAAAAGCCAAAATGTGCTCCTTGTCATGATGGGAAATAATTGTTTTTCTTCAATTTTTTGAACCATTTTTAATGTTGGGCCGTTTACGTCACAGAATGGGCGGAGCTTAATATTTTCATTTGTTGGTGTTCAAAAGTGACGGACCTGATGAAAATGCCAACAGACAAAATACATTTGAAAACTTTAAATAGGAAAATTTAGTCGTTAAATTTGAAATGTGGTGATTAGCTCAAAATGGCGATTCAAAATGACGTCTGATACACTCGAATTTCTTAGAAACTGCTTAATTCTGGTTCGTTTTGCAGAAAATAAATTACAGTTTCTCAATTATATATATATAGTATGTATAGTATATTGATTATTCCATTAAATATGAACAAAAATACTTGAAAAGATTCATTTTCCTTTTTAGAAATATTTAAAACAAACTCGACTGAAGAGATTCCAAATTTCCCCCTTCGTAATTGAGCCCCCGTCCACCTAAAATCACTCCCGAATCCTGTCATTACCAACCTACACTTCTACCTCAACATCCTTCGGCACACCATCAAATATAACAAGAAATTCTTATCCGATTTTATTGAACACTTTGTTCTAGCTTTTTAGCACTTATAAGAACTTAGAATTATCCCTAACATCTTTTATTCCAGCTTTATTTGGTATATGTTTCAGTCTGTCTTCGGAATTTTGGTATTTTCAACACTCAAGTAAAATGGTGCCCCGTGTCAAGGATGACAACACCTTTGGCATCTAAAAGATCGTTTCTCTGGAGTTCGAAAAAGAGTAAGCTCACTGGGGGCCACCAGAGAAACCAAAATCCTTCAAAAATCAATTATTTAAACTGAGGGTCCGCCGAAACGTGGCTGAAAAATCTGCCGACTCGGCGTTAAACAATATACAATCAATCAATTAACACTCAAGGAACAACACATTTATGTTCAAATGTTAAAAGTCTATTTTTTTATCCAAAACCATATGCAAAATGAACTAGATGTACTGTGAGCAATTAGCTCACTAAATGATACCCCGGTCTCCCATATGAATATAATGACAGTGTCCATGTTTTGTTATGGGAAACCCAAAATATGTGTCGGATCAAAAAGTAAAATAGTAGGTCACAATGGCAATATGTAATTAAGATTCTGTGAAAGTTTCAGTAAATTTCATTCAGTGGTATGAGAGGAGTTGCGGATAAAAGATGGGTACCCCAAAGCGACTGAGATACCGATTACTCCATATCAACAAAAGCTTTTAACGCTTTATTACAGACAGATAAACTGATATTCAAGACATGTAGCTCTTTATTTTGTTACCTCGTATAGATTTGTTGTCTTTTAGGGTAGGAAGGTCATTCTACGCGTATTAGCAAGAAAATTCTCAAACTTAATCATCTGAAATCACATTGTGTGCATGTTTTGGTGAGAAAAGTTGTAAAATTATGCAATTTAAGAGCGCCTGTAGATTCCTCGTGATTTCTATCACTTACAAGCTTTCGTAACAATAGGTCTAAGCCATTCCTGATTTCGATTTAGTCAACACTTCTCTTGACAACAAAATTTTCTTGAACACTTAAAAACTTTACAAGACAACTCGATCCACACTTCTTTGTTAGGTCTGATCATAGTGTAAGGTTGTATCAAGAATCGAGGGGGATTGAACACAAACATTATCTTCTTTCAGATTTTGTAAATTTCAAAATTTTTAAAGAACAAGGTTCACTTTTACCTTATTTGGCCCTGTGAATTTCTGAAAAACTGAAACTGCATAGTTCTACTTAACAGTACATTAAATATCACTTAGATCTTTGGTGACTTTGTATCTATCAAAAATTACGTCATTTTCTGGCTAGTCAATGCATTATGACGTCACGAAATGCTTCAATTTACTCATATTCTGAAAAAGTCTACTAAAACGGCCAATTTTTAATGCTATTTTTTGATATTTAATATAGAGCGCAACCTCTGATCTAAAATATACAACTAGTAAATGATAGAACTGTTTCTGAGGATAAATGGACATGTTTTATTTTTTAGATCAGAGAGTGCGCTCATATAATTTTTCTTCACTGAAAGTACTCAATTATGCCTGTTTACCTAAAATCCAAGAACATTGCAGTTTCTTAAAGCCAGATAGGCTATGAAAGCGCCAAGTCTCTATTTTATTTTAATGCTTCAAATAGAAAATCAAGTGTTGATCAATTAATTGGTATATCTACAGGGCCATTTTATGCAGAAAGTGAACCGACTTCTTTATATACTTCTTTATATACACTGTTCAATTAATACAAAATTATCCGTTCACAGCATGAAATATTTGAGAATGCAGTTGAATTTTTGACTGAGATTAACATAATGCTAATGTAGGGACATAGAATCAAAGCTGGACAATCAAGAAAATTTATGTTTTACGTATATTATATTGATAATTCTTAATATATATGTTTATTAGGATATCATAATATATTCATATTTATCTGATGTAACAATTACTAGCCCTATAATTGGTAGTGGTCAATCATTTTAAAAATCATTCTATTAGTTATTTTGCACTAGACCTTCCAGAAGAACATAAACATTCATTTTTTTCTACACTGGACTAAAAATAGATCAAGAATTCCCAACAACTGAATGTTCACTCGCCTTAATGCTCGGTGGATACTGCTCTTCGGGTAGCTTAATTTTCATATTGTCCTCAAAACAGCAATTATTATATGATATTATTAACTTCTTATCTGAAGAGGCATGGTGAGACAGGTAAAAGGTAAAATGTCTTCGGAATTGTCGTCAAAAATTTATCTTAACAATAGTAGTAATGATTAAACAAAAATCCTGTTATAAAAATCCTAAGTCATTAACAGAAATATCCACAAACTTTCATTGCATATTTGAACATTATTTCATGAATAAAAAAAACTGTAATTTATTTTCTGCAAAACGAACCAGAATTAAGCAGTTTGAATATTTTACGAAATTCGAGTGTATCAGACGTCATTTGAATAGCCATTTTGTGCCTATTAACACATTTCAAATTTAACGACTGAATTTTCCTATTTAAAGTGATCAAATTAGTGTTCTGTTGTCATTTTACATAGTTGTACTACGCTCAGTAAAATATTCACAAATCCTTTCTCCTATGTAAACGACATTAAAAATTAAAAAAAATTGAAGAAAAAGATGAATATCCGCCATTTTGAATAGCCATTTTGGCTTTTAACTTGCAGCTGCACTATCATTCGTAGAATAGTGTGATGTAGAGGGAAAAATGCAGATCAGCAGTGTATGGATATTTTAAAATGTAAAATCCTGAACAAAGAGGAAAATAGAAACAATAGACAAAAATATCAGAGAAAATTCGAATTAAGTGTAGAAACGACTAAATTTTCTGAGTTTAACTAATAATTTTAGCATCCTTTCATAATTTTTATAGTTTTATTACACTCAGTTAGATATTCACTCATTACTTCTCCATTTTGAACGACATTAAGAGAAAATTAGAAAAATTGGATGTCCTCCATTTTGAATCGTCATTTTGACCTCTTTAAAGCCATTTGCATGAAGGCCAGCATATTTTTTCGGATTCAGCATACTCGAAATAGGTTAAGAAACTATGCTGGACCAAATAATAATTATTTGCCGTTAGAAGTTATTTCTAGCCTTCTTTTTAAAAATCAGGACCAGACTACCTAACGAGACGGCCAAGGTCATTTGGAGGGAGTTTATTCCATTCCTGTTGCAATGTTGCAGCAAGTTCTTGGACATTGTCCGATCTGAAATTGTCAAACATTACAAAATATAAAGATTCAAATCAATACCTTATATTACTATTAGCTTTATACCCAATATAGAACAAAGAATCATTGAACAGTGCACTCAGAAGCAAGCATTTAAATTCATTCGATCGAACATTTCATTCTACTTGCAGCTGCTGTAGATAAAGCCTGACACATTTCCCCTTTCATTTACCATTCACTACTAGTCATGCTAGTATCACTCCTTTTATCAAGTGATATTTTGAGTGAATAGTAAAATATATTTCACTTATTTCAGAATAGGGATTATATACTAATCAAGGGCCCATGGGGGCATTTACAATCATATCAGTATGATCACATTTATGTAACATGGAACAATACATGAATGAAATACTAGTATGGGGAGATAACGAACATTATTCGAGTTTAAAAGTCCATTAAACATAACAAAATATAGGAGTAGAGCAAACACGGACCTCCAGAACATGGGATCAGGTGTCATGGAGGACTACGCATCCCCTGCCCACCGATCACACCCGCCGTGTGCTCCTTGTCATGATCAATTGAAATTAAAATATTGGAGCTCTTGAGATTGTGAACCAGTAAAAAATGTTGGGCCGTTTACGTCAAAGAATAGTCATGGAGCTTAATCTCATTTTCTTTTGTGTGTTTAAAAGTGACACTGATGTTACAAAACGAAAGACAGTAAAACAAAAAAAGTGGTGCATCACGAACCGTATTGTGAACCCAGTTATTAAAAAAATAATAATAAAAATACCATAATTCCTTCAGAAATCAATGAAGTAGAACGAAATGCAAACTTGATCTATAACTAATTAATTTATAAAAGCTATCCAGCAAGTTTCAATTCATGACAACCTCGTTTAGAACATAAATTGAGTGCATCACGACATAAATGTAGTGCATCACGAATCCTATATTTAAGGATATTCGATCCTCAACCAGGAAGGATGACTCCAAAAATTAATATTTTATTTGAAATGCATCAAAATGAAGCTTGAAAATGAATTTTTTTTTCATGCAACAATTTTCATTTTATTCATCTTTATAAGATTTGACGGTTTTTGGAAGTCTTAGAAAACGTATTATAAAAGTTGAGATTTGTATCCTAAAAAAGGAAAAAAAATAATACAGTTTTAGAGAAATAAGATTATCTTGAATCCAGCCTTAGATACCAATGCTTATTAGCATGATATGAAATTAGAAGTGATTTGTGGTGTCTTGCAATGATAGCATAAGCCTTTTAAACTATGTATTATAGAATACACGGGAAATAGAAGACAAGAAATACCAAATAAGTATAAAAATCATGACAATTTCTCTCTCCTCTGGATAACCGTTTTTGTCTAAAATGTATTTTTGATCAATTTGCAAGTAGAAAATGCATTGCTGATATTCCAGTTCTCTCTCTTTCTCTGAAAAAATAAAAAAGATTTACAATTTTCTGTTATATAATATGATTAACTTTAATCTTAAAATACCATAATTCTTTCAAAAATCAATTTTTTTAACAAAATGCAAACTTGATTTATAAGTAATTAAGGTAAATTCATACTAAAAACCAGTTCAATATCTGCAAACGTTTAACTCCTATGCGGAAAAAAAAATTGAAAATGCCGTAATTTTTAAAAAATCATTGAATGGTAACGATATTCAAACTTGATCTGTAACTTATCAAGATAGATTTAATTGACAAAAATCAGCTCAATATCTGCTATCGTTTAGAAAAAAAAGTGCGGAAAACCAAGTTTAAGTGGGACAATATTCACGGGGACTTAAACACTGATTTTAAACACTGCAATTTATATGATATACATCACAGGCACCTGACGGTTTCATTTTTCCGGTAAAAAAAAATATACACATACCTAGTAATACCTGACATTACTTATTTTTCTTTTAAATATAGCCCAAACCATTAAGAAGTTATGGGCAATTTAAAAGTTTTTGTAAACAAAGAGACATTGATACATGCTAGTTGGTTTTTTTAATTGTACCTGGTGCTTGTTTTCAAAATCGTTTAACATTCTTCGTCCAACGGTTGTCGTTCGTTAACTACGATAGAAATGATGGAAATGCTGAATACAAATCTGCATGAAATATCATAACATTCATATGATACATGTAGTTGATACGTTAAACTGCAATTCTTAAAACCGAGAGACAAGAATTGTACTTTCTATCAAGTGGAAGAAGAAACAGTTGAATATTTGCTTTGGGAGTGTAATCATGTTTTTACGTTTGTTAAGGGAATTAATCTGAAAACTTTGAAAATAAGACAAATCTTCAGATATCAGTAACAAAAAAATTCATTTTTGGGTTCTTGGACAACAAGAAAAAAGATACAAAATGATCTAGTTTTATGGGTTAAATATTAATTATATCTACGCAATGAGGTGCATAAGGAAAACAATTAATTTGAATGCTGCCGTGTCGCTCATGAGTCATCCTCACAATGTCAAGGGTTTGTGATTTCATGCATGTTTGTGTGGAGTTCGGGAAATCGCAAACCCTTGACATTGTGAGGATGCTCATGAATACTTTTTTATAAAACACATAAATATACTGCTAATATAAAAATGGTGAACATGATATGTTTGATACCTGGATTGTTGGAATGAATTATTTTAATATTTTTTCCCATAGATATATCTTCTGAATGCACGCAACCCCTTCTTTTTTCTCCCTCTCAAGTTAACTTTCTCTCTCCTCTCCGGAGAACCCCCGATCTGTCAAAATATTTTTCCGGAGTGCTACAGTTCTGCAACTACGGTCCTCTATACCTACCCCCTCTCCCCTCTCTCTCTCTTCCTCTCTCTAAAATGAAAAAAAAAATTACACCTTCTGTTTTTGTTTCATTACTATAGATGTATAAAATAACAGAATGTGTAAAACAAATAAAAATGTTTTTTTTATAAAAAAAAAAAAAACGAGAGACATATATGCAATCATTTCATGATTTGTTTGGCTCAATAAGTTTTATCCCGGGCGTATTTCTTCCGGAAAAAAAACTAGCAAAATTATACATTTAAACTCCTATTTCAATGATGAAACGAAGATTTAGACTTTATTCATGTCTCAATAAATTTTATTTTCATATAGTAATTGTTGTAATGGTATATTCATTTTATCTGGGGGGGGGGGGGGGGGGGGGGGGGGGGGATAAACACAAAACGACTTTTATATTAGATTTAATTGACAGAACGATCTATGCATGAAAACGGATTTCTTACATCTTAAGATAAAAAGAAAATGAAAGTAAATTGAGAAGTTTATACTGGTCAATATTCATTTTATATAACTTAAACACTGATTTTAAACACTGCCAATTTATATGATATACATCACAGGCACCTGACGTTACTTATTTTTCTTTTAATAAAAAAAAATATACACATACCTAGTAATACTTAATTAACATTACTTATTTTTCTTTTAATAAAAAAAATATACACATGATAAGTACAAAATTCTCCAAGGTCCAAAGGTCAAGATAATTCGTATCCAATGAAAAGTCTTGCCACATAGAATACTTATGTAGAGTATGGAACCCTTAGCCCTAACCGTTCAGAAGTTATGGCCAAGGTTAAAAAAATTTGTAAGTAGGTCAAACTCCAAGGTCAAGGTCAAAGCTTCAAAGTTCTTGTTATCAAATGAAAGGCCATGTCACAAGGATGAAATATATAAAGTATGAAAGCACTAGCCTTAACCCTTTAAAAGTTGTGGTCAAGGATTGTTTTTTTAAAGTAGGTCAAACTCAAAGGTCAAGGTCAAAGGATCAAAGTTCTTGGTATCCAATGAAGGGTCTTTTCACAAGGATTACATATATGAAGTATGAAAGCCCTATCCCTTACCGTTCAAAAGTTATGATCAAGTTTAAAGTTTTTTCACAAGTACGGAAATCTACAAGGTCAAGGTCAAAGGGTCCAGGTTGTTGGTATTCAAACAAAGGTCTTTTAACAAAGAATACATTTGCGAAGTATAAATGTCATGATATCTACTGTTCAAAAGATATGGCCAAAGTAAAAGTTTAAAATTTTCATGTAAAAGTGGGTCAAACTCCAAGGTCAAGATCAAAAGGTCAAATTTGGTGGTACCCAAAGAAAGGTCTTGTCACATGCAAGGATTACACATGTGAAATATGAAAGTCATGGCTCCACTTAATCAAAAGTTATGGGCAAGGTTAAGGTTTTTGCGGACAAACAGACAAACAGAGAGAGAGACAGACAGACAGACAGACGGACACGACAAAAAATATATACCCAAGAAACTTCAGCTTTACGGGGGCATTGAAAAAAAGTAACGTCCACAGGGACCTGATGTTACTTAAATTTATCAAATTGTTAGGTGAAAAAAAAATATACACATACCTAATAATAAATTATTAGGTATGTGTAAATACTTTCTAACCAATGATAACTTTAATATATTGCAAATTTATGAGATTTTTAAAAAGATGAAAATCGTGGGGGGGGGGGTGGGTTGTCATCTCATGTCAAAATTTTTAAATTTCAATTGTATGTGAAATTTAGCAAACATTAAAAAAGGTAGAGAATAACAAAATTCAATTTTGTTAAATCATATTCTACATATTGTACAGTATTGGATTTTGATACGCTCCCCAAGTTGGCTCATCATTCGCACATGTGCACTTGGTACACAAACATTCAACATGGCGCCTACATGAAAGACGTTACGAGAACTGGACGGATTTAAAGACATTTTTGAGTGGAAATGTAGGGTAATCTGTGATATTTTACAACAAATGACAAGATGAGTGAATGAGAGCCCACATGTTCCATGCAGGCCAAAAAACGTTACTTATTTCTGGTTATTCTCGCCATTCTGTTAGTCATTGTGTATCTTGGTTCTAAAAGCGTAAGCAAAAATGGCGAAGTCACATTGTCTCTTGAAAAGAGAGAATTCCCCACGTATATGGAGTCAGAGGCCGTGGATGTATTCTCTCCAAAACGCAGGAGGGAAACAATTACTTCGGAATCTAAAAGTGAGAAGTGCCGAATGGACACTTGTTTTGATTTCACCCGGTGTCTTAGGGGGTTCAAAGTGTATGTTTACCCCGTGCAGGAGAGGGTGTCGGAAAGTTACACCAAAATTATCAACAGTATTCAGGAGTCTAAGTACTATACCACAAATCCGGACGAAGCTTGTATATTCATATTGTCCATAGATACCCTGGATAGGGATCAGCTAAGTGTTAATTATGCAAAAAACATTGGGTCCAAAATTGCCCAGTTGGGGCATCTGTGGAACAATGGTAGAAATCACGTTATATTTAATTTATTTTCAGGCACTTGGCCTGATTATTCAGAGGTGCTTGACTTTGATACTGGCGAGGCCATCATGGCTCGAGCTAGTATATCAGAATCGCGATTTAGACCAAATTTTGATATATCCCTTCCATTAGTTGGTAGTGCTCACCCTGAAAAAGGAGGAGAAAGGGGCTACGTTTACACATCAATTAACAACATTCCACCTTTACGGCATTATTTGTTAGGTTTCAAAGGCAAACGTTACTTAGTGGGAGTCGGGTCTGAAACTCGGAACTCTTTATACCACATGCATAATGGAGACGATATAGTGCTTTTAACAACTTGCAGGCATGGGAAATTTTGGCAGAAAAAAGCCAGAGAATTAAATGACACCAGATGTGCGGAAGACAACAGAGAATTTGATAGGTAATTTACTGAATAAAGTTTTAAATTCCCATTCAATATCCTTCTTATAAATACATGTACTTTAGTTTTAAGATTATTTTCCACACAGGTGGTTGTTGGATATAAGTTTATTTCTTCCCTTAAGTTAAAGCCTTTAAATATGAACAGCTCAGATGTTATGTTTGGTGTATTTTAAAATTTTTATACCATATTGTTATTTTAATCAAATAAATGCATGTGTTTGTATTCAGGATAAGTATATTTTAAAGTGGAGCATTGAAGATGCATGTAAAAATGTCAATTTTAAGGTCAAGATCTAGTAAATGACTTTAGAATGACTTTTCAGTGTTTGATCCATTATGACGTCATAATCACTTTCAACTTTCTTTTTTCCCGTACTTTAGAAAAAGTTCTTTATTTATTATGTGGAAAATCATTAATTTTTCATGGAATTCAATTTGAAACCACATGAAAAGTCGTCCCGATACTTACATGTATATTAAATTTGACATTATTTTTAAGAAAAGGCCAAGAACATACAAATTACCGTTTTCTGAAAGACTGTAGGCAATCTGGATACATTTTCTTTGTCTGATATGGAAAAAACTCCCATATTCATGACTGGTTTTCTTAATTTTTCATTGAAAATGACAGTTTAAAATATGATTTTTCATCTTGTTTTTCCACAAATTATGCCCCGAAACACCATTTTTGACCAAGCTTATGTTTTAAAGCATCCTTACAGGAATTTATTTCTTAAATTTGATAAATCTGTAGGCATCCTTCATTTACTAGATCTTGACCTTAAGTATATGCAGGTGGAAATACAGCATAATATAAAGTAATCATTTTAAACTTTTTTCCAAAACTAAATCTAGAAAAAGTTGGCTTTATTTATATGGCTGAAAATCATTATTTTTTTTTATTGTATTAAGATATCAGTCTGTCAAGTTAATGAAAAGATCTCCTATATCAGAATACTTTGAATTTTTAAAAAAGCTATTATTTTCTGGTGTATGCTCTACTTTGCATTTGTATGGATGAAAATCAGATTGATCAAGATAAGTTGTTTGATCTCTCACTATGAGTTCTTTTATCAGCTAGATTACATATACATACTGGGTATAGCAAAGGCCAGGAATTGTTGATATTTCATAAATTACAAAAGAAAGAGTCAGACCATTTGAAGCCCAATAATCTATGCCGGAAACATATTGAATAAAAATATCTAAAACCCAATAAATCTAAAATATTTAATTCCAATTTAAATTTTTAGCAAATTTGCGAGTTTTATTGCACTTGAAATATAAAATATGATATATTTTGAAAAATAAATTATAATATATTTGTAAACAAAGCAGTGGTTTGCAAAATTTTGAAACAGTCAAAAATTAATCAACATCATTTTTTGAGAATTAAAAATAAAATTGACATAAAAATTTCCAGATTTACAGTAGTATGTTTAAGTGACAATGTTATGGTTGTAAATTCACGTGACGTGAATTTCATGCCTGTTTCTAACATAAAGTCAATATATATAGTCAAATGAAAAATGTTTCCATGAAATATAGAGATAACAAACACTATAATCAAGCTCCAGTGTCCATTGAAAAAATACAAATTAAGAACAGTTGAACAGAACTGCCTTTCAGATGATTAAATTCGAGTTTCATAGTAAGTAGCCATAAAAATCCAACATAAATATTGAAAATGTTACTGCTATGTTTTGCTCTACAAAATTTTGTTTGTTTATTCTCTCTTTATTTTGTTTGGTTAAGTTTGTGGTGAATGACTTTTAAATTAGATCTATTTTTATCAGTAAGAGTAGTGCCCAATTTGTTGTGACCTCTGAAACAGAAGGCATTGTGACCTAGATTCAAGAGCCCTAAGTGATTCAGCTGAGGGCTGGCATTGTTAGAGCTTAGTGGTCCAAAAGTTAAGTTGACACACCTTAAGCTCTCCTGACCTGTTAAATCCTTTCATAATCTGCCCCCTTAATCCAACCAGCTGTTTTCGATAAACATGTCTCTCAGGGTTTGTTTTTTTCTTCTAGCTGGATCATAGATTTTTTGATTATTAATAGTCAGCATTGTCTCGTAATTTACACAGCATGGTATTAAACACCATTTAGGGGGAAAAATCTTTGTAACTTAATCATCACAGCATTGTTGACATGCCAAATGTCTTCTGATTTTGTTCATTGATATATGCTGTGTTAATATTTCCAGATCAATAAGATGCATTCTTTGAGTTGAACTCTGAATTAATACCAGGAGTATTTGCTTTGTTTTTATCAGTCTGTCATAAATTAGGGTCTAGTCTTGTGGTGATATTTCCACCCAAGCATTTTGCTTTGGTTAAAAATTTATAACTTTGTACCATACCAAATCAAACTTGGAAAATTTCAAGATTTCAGCGAAGAACAAAATTGTGAAATTCCGAGAATACTTAGATATTGTAAATATGCAATAGGTCTAGACTTAAAATTCTTTAGTCTGTTCCCCAAGTTTGGGAACAAATGGTAATAAATGGACTAAAGAAATTAAAAGTGGATTAAAGCAATTTTGGGATAGGATGGGTCGGGGGATTAGGCGAAAATACATACACGTAATTGTGTGTACTTAGTGTAAAATATGTCGTTAAATACATCAGATGGCAATGTGTTTAGGGCTTAACTCTGTCCAAGAATACACAGGTAACAGGGGAAAGTGCACCTGGGTCTCTTTTTTTAATGTAAAAGAGCACACCTAGATATTTAATATGGGCATTCCTTTAATAGATTAGCACTTGATAAACATGTCAAGATGAAGGGCTTTCCTACCTCATGGATACTAAAGTTTAGCTGAGTTATGGTGTAACCTGTTTGGCATGTGTTCAGTGAAAAGGGGGGTTTACTTTCAACTTGATTGCATTTGCTTGATGCTAAATCATTCAGAAATCACTATGCTATACCTTCCTGAAGTTGAGAATACTCTATAAATACAATTTTCCTGACTAACACCCCCCCCCTTTCAACCAGTCTCTAACCAGGCTGGTTTTTACCGAAATATTCTTTCATGCAAATATTTGAATAATTCTTTGCAAGATAACCTTTATAACAAATTCCGCAAGGGTCTGAACAAAGTACTGCATAAATTTGTTGCTAAAACAAACGAATTGAAATAGAAGTGCAAACTTAAAGTGTGTGATTTTGCAATAAACATTTGAGTCTTAAGAATTGACTTTAGAAAAGATTATTTTGTAATTTCCTGCATCTGTTTAAGTAAATTTATAAAACTAAAAGACTAAATGGTATGGTTTGGGGAGGGAGGAGGGTGCAGTTTTGGAATCCATTCTAAGTCTTTATTTGTCAGTATCAAAAGGGAGCATTTTGACAATGTACGTTTAGTGCATGTATAATCCACTTGTCCTAAAGTCCCATTATTTGGTAGCTTGTACATGTTGATGTTGTACATGTACATTGTCCATTTATAATTGTTTTAGAAGTGCTTATAATTGAACTACTAAAGGATGCATGCCTTGGAGTGCAAGTGTTTTCTTCTGAAGTTTGTTTGAAGGGTTAATTTGATAGTATTAAGTGGTTATAATGAATGTCTATTATGTTCTATAATCTTTTACATATGAAGTCAGCTTTTATGATTTCAAAATCAACAGGAAAGCTCTAATGGCCCCGTAATGGTCACTTACTGATATTGGGATAACTTTCTCCTCAAACTAAAATGAATTTTCATAAGTATTAGGTCATCAGGTCATAGATCATGTACATTCATTTGGTACATTTTTTTCTTTTCAAATAAAAACTAATAGAGTTAAATATCAAACATGTTGATTACTTGATACTGTTGTTATCATAAGGTTTACTTTATATTTTCCAAAAAAAAAAAAGAATTTTTCAAGGTGCAAGATCAATAGAAATTAAAAGTTGAAGTCAATCTGTTTAAATTTAAAAATAAAAGAATTTTAAACAAGTGATGAACCTGTTTTCTGTTTTAATATGCTGTAAATGTATTTTATTTAGTGTGTACGATATTTGGCGGAAATTGATTTCTCAACAAGTTAATATTCATATTTATGTTCATGATGTATACATGTGCGAAACATTTAGCGTTGTACTTGAATTGCATTGTATTTCTCGAAGACAAAAGCAAAAAGAGTACACAGCCAAATGTAATACGTTTACAGTAATTTGCATCCCTGATTCCATGATCTAATCTTGATAATAGTCCCTTTATGCATATAAAGGAAAGATTTTAAAAGAAACCTTGAATTCGCCATGTTGAGTGCAAACGTTTTACAGACTTGACCCAGACAACCCCACATCATAAGTCATCCCTCAAAGTCTCCAGTGAGTTTCTCACACTTCCTTGAAAGACAGACCAGGAAATCGCTGCGGTTAATTTGTATCTTTGCGATAGGTTTTAGTAATTGTGCTAACTCTCTGTGTAATTATAGAGTGCACAGCTACTCAAGTGGAAAAAGAAATCGCTATTTCAGTTTGTAAATGAAAAAAGGAGGACCCTAACTTCTATCATAATTGTAGGCCTAGATTGAAAGTACATTCTGATTGTTGAATAACGCTAAATGAGGGCTGTAATGTCTGGTGCAGAGGAGATAAAATTAAATCCTTTTATTGGCAGATATCGAATAAACCGTCTTGTATTCATATATCATCATTGTCATTTAATTGTCAAGATATAAAATGACGTCATCATCATTGCAAGCAAAATTTTTTTTTTGCATGAAAATGAAATCTATAATAGCCCTAGTTGACCCGAAGAGGACTGGGTATGAGGGATGAGGGGGTGGGAGGATCTGCCCTCAGATTCTGTCGAGTTTGAGTAGGACTAGATATGGGGATAATGGAACTATAAGCAAGATTGTTCATTTATCAACATGTTGCACAAGTCATCACCAGGCCAGAGGATAAATGTCATTTTGGATCATTCTGTCAATTAGATTTGATTAATATTTCATGAGGCAATTATGTCATGTTGATAACATGGGCAGGTTCATTCTAACTGTGTGGCAAATTCTGTCTCTCCATCAAGCAAGTTACATGTAGCTGCCCTTGGTTTGTGAATGATGGTTTGGCTGAAAGAACTTGGTAGCAGTTTGGTTCAACATTGTCAGGAAGTCTGTAAACTTTCCGACATCAACCACTGTATAAAATGACAGCTGATGTCAAAACAAAACAGATATATGCTTCTGTTGAAACCTGCTGTTTGGTTTGTGAAAGCATCGTAAATATTTAATGCCAGATAGTTTAAATTGATGAAGTTTTCGATCCAGAGTTTTCAATTGAGAGTAAACTTTTAAATTATAAATAATTTTGAATTGTTGTAAAGTGTATCGTTTATAGTTGATTAATACTTGATTATTTCAATTGAAATTTGACTGCTTTAATGTATATGCTTACTAATTACATTCTTAGGCATACAGTCATATACAGTAAAACATGCTTATAGTGAACATGGTTATAATAAATTAAAGCTTATAATGAAGCAAGATCATTTGTTTCTGGCACTTTGCTATATATTAACATGATTAAGCTGTTTTACTGTGTATTGTAACCCTTCTTTTCAAAAGGGAAAAAACTGAATCAAGTCCAATTCTCTTTTTTAGTTTTTATTGATTAATTATTACTAGGTTACATTACAAACACACTGACAATATTCCTGAGTCATTGCAGGCTATATCATTAGATTTGACTGTTTTACTGATGGACAGGTGATACATGGCACCCATTTGTTTCATGTTTGGACACAGACAGACATTCATTTTGAACAAATAATTAAAATGAATGACACATGACATAAAATATATGTTCATTTATACATATACATGTATCTGATTTTCAGTTCTTTCTCATAGATAGCTTTCTGGGTTTTTTTTGATGTTTTATTTTGTGGTTTTGCATTTTTAGGTATGATTACAAAAAGCTGCTCTACAACGCCACCTTCTGCCTGGTGCCCAGGGGTCGACGTCTGGGGTCATTCCGGTAAGTCTGTCCCCCGCAGGAAGACTGCACAGAGATGTCAACACTTTCAATTGACAGTCAGTAGCACTACTCATTAGAATGGCAAATAAAAAGTTTTGAATTTTTTCCTTGTCAAGAAAGATGTACAGTGTTAAAAAAAAACTTAGATATAAGGAAATTGGTAATAAATTTGATAAAAAAAATTCAAGGTTTGAGATAAAGGTTAGCAGATATTTGTAAAAGGAAATCATTGTCTAGACTGTGTACATATACAGTAAAACTTGTTTAAATTCTATTTCTACATGTTTTTCTTCATTAAACAATGTTAAATTAAGAAAAACATAGAAATAGAATTTAGTGAAAGTGTTGATTTTGAATTTCAAAAAAGTTTATTTTTTAACATTTTCAGAACTGCAATGACATTACAGAGGTCTAAGATTTCACATTTTTGTAATTAGAATAAAAGATATGAATGTACATTTTAAACTGAGAAAAAATGTCCATACAGTTAATATGTATAAAGACCAGCTGTTTTTTAACAGGTTTCTTGAGGCCCTTCAGGCGGGCTGTATCCCGGTCCTTTTAAGTAACGGCTGGGAACTGCCGTTTGCTGAGGTAATTGATTGGCGACAGGCGGCAGTGTGGGCAGATGAAAGACTCCTATTTCAGGTATGGGCCCAAATTAATGGACTGCAGAGAAAACTTTCTCTTTTTCAGCTCTTTTGAAAGTATGTTTGTATAGTATGGTGGGATGTTAGTTATAATTTGCAGTTGTATATCTAACTTGGTGATTTTCATTTTAATGTTCACATACAAATGTGCATTTTCTTCTATATGCCAGTATTAATGGGAGAAAGGGATTTAGAACTGATGTTTTTTCAGGTTTCAAAATTAAATAAAAATGTTTAATTATGCATTAAATGATTAGGAATTTAAAAAGTTTCATTAGGAATTGAATTTCACACAATAATTAACAGATATACACAATAACGCAAAACTCCATTTACTTCATTCATTGAAATGATTTTCTTAGATTTCATCTAAGCATTGTGGAGAGGGGGTAAAGAAAAACCTGAAAAATTAAGAGAAGCAAATAATCATTAATTGGCTTAGTGTTTACATTGCAAACATTTTTGCCACGTGTTTTATCCATAAACCAAATGAAAAGATTCCACGAGATGCCATTAAAATAGCAAAGCAACATGTGCATTTCTACAGTAGATGGCCAAATAGAATTTTCTAAGTACTGAAAAGACCCTTCTCTTAATATACAAGCAGGCTCCACAGATGCGCAATCAAGTCATATGTTCACAGAAGTTAGAAAGATTTGAAAATTCAATTAAGAGGAAAAATAATTGATGCATCTTTAATGTTTATCTTATATAATGCAGTTCATGACACCCCATTGGCATCCAATCATGAATTCCTGCAGGAATTGCAATTAGAATCTGGCACGATATGCAGCATTTTTTGAGCGATTCCCTGTATTTTTGGAGGAATTGTGAAGATTTTCTTTGTAAGAGAGTTAATTTTTAGGTTAAATTAATATTCTGCTCCTCATTTTTTGACACATTTTATTATTAGGAAAAAGTATTTATAGAGAGAGATATAAATGAGCAAGTTATTTCTGTAGCTGATAAGGAAGTTTGGAATAGAAATTCATGGTGATGTGCATGTACTATAGTCTAGTCATTCTACTGAAAAATGAGAACTAATTGCAACAGTATATATTTTAATGCAGATTTGTAGATAAGCTATTAGTAACTCACATATAAAAAGTTTAGAAAAATTCACGCAGGGGAAAGTTGGGAAATCGAAAGATTAAAATTAGGGATCAATATGAATTTAGAATTACCCATCTGCACACCGTACTTTTTGTATATGAGCTGTCTATGACAGACAGCCTGTAAACAATAGCCAATTAGCATTAAAAGTTGTTGTTTTAAACCTGTAGTTTGTTATGCAATCAAAACTAAATAAAAAAATTATATATTTTGATTTTCAAAGAAGTAAAGTTTTGACTTGAAGTCTTCCACACCGGCCTCTACACAAATGCAATTACCATTCATGTAAACAAAAAAGTATGGAACGCTGTTTGTATTCACAATATACATGTATGTGAAATTCCTAAATGTGAATGTGTTTATTTTCATTTTATTTGTAAACATCTGATGGACATTTATACCCCAGTAGTTTTGGAATTTATACTCAAGAAACAAAAAATGTATGGAACACAGTTTGTATACAAAATAAGTCAAAACAGCCTTTTCTAAAGAATTCTGCAAGGAAGCTTGTCAGACAATGACAATGTATATCAGAGTTGTAACAATTGCATCATCACAGAATATATTTTGTTTAAATGTCTAGAAAATATATAGAAATTTATCATTTTGAAATAAAGAGTACATAATTTATGGAATCACATGAACAATATTTGATTTGAAGGTCTCCAAGTTTAAAAAATAAAATATTTAATTCCATTCAGGCATCTCCGAAACTTAAATTTGAACTGTGTGATTCAAACAATTTTTTTGCTCTCCAGATTTACTTCTTATTGCTTTTGTTAAAAGTAGCGAACCTTATATAAAAAGCCAATTGATATTGACCTTTTTCTCTATAAAGACTGCACCATGCATCTATACATAAACAAAAGCTGCATTATGTTTATAGTAATGGAAATAATTCAAATGGAATCGTTTAGACAGAATTAAATGCTTAAATGCTCTATTTTAAAATTCTTAATGTAACTTTTTAACTAAATATTTAAAATCCATTTTTAAAAACTTAACTTCATCTTGTAGATCATATGGTCATTTTTGCAACAGTAAAATGCCTGAAGCTCCATTTTATGGGGACTGGTGATAACGGCGTTTCCATGAGCATGCTTTAGAATGTGAACAATCTGGAACACTTTTAAAGTCACTTCTTAATAAGAGCAACATTGAAAAAAGAAAATAGATGGACTTGAATCTTTCTACTATAATTGTATATTGTTTAACGTCCCCCTCGAGAATTTTTCATGCATATGGAGACGCCACCACTAGCCAGTGGAGAGCTGCACATTTTGTTCTATACTCAGCACTTAGAGCCATTAAGCAGTGCGGAATCTTTTTCGTGCCAGTGCCTACTGCGACACGGGACCTCGGTTTATACGGTCTTATCCCACCGCTCTTCACATCCCACAGTGGGATTCGAACCCGCGACGTAAGGATCGACTCCTTACTTCGCAACTCTAGAGCAAATCTATGCTCTAACCACTGCACCATGCGGGTGAATTCCTAGATTAAAGCCAAAGTCAATTTCTATAACTGTTAGGATAAAAATATTTGGGGAAAATATAACAAACATTAATAATACTTTTACATATGAATTTTACCAAGTAAAAATTGATAACCAGTATCTACCAAAAGTTTAACAATTAATTCTTCCTTGAAACAAATACATGTACTTGGCTTGCTCTCTTTTACTTCAATCCATTTGTGTAAGTGCTTTAATTTAATTGACTTCAGACTTTTTTTATCAATAAGAATAAAATAATCTGCTGTGTGCTTTCAATTGCCCCCAACCCTCTTCAAGTAACATTACATAGCAACGGTTTGATATACATTAAGATTCCAGAAGGGTAACAATATAATAATTATTAACTGCGCAGAACCTTTGCGCGCACATTTCACGATATTTTGTTCTCAATGCAATTTAATTACTGTTGATTCGGCTTCATCTTGGTCAACAATGATCATTTTCAAGGGATAACAATTTCAGATTTTATCCTAAAACGTGTCTTATCTTCATATTATTGAATGTAGTTGAGGGTTACACTGAAAAAATCTTGAAATATATTTTGGAATATCGCAATCCATGAAGCAACATTAACTGTTGCTATGTTCTTATCACACCGAAGGGTGTGGTTTAATTTTATGGAGGATAAAAAAAATACATTGATCCACTTGATATGAGTAAGATAGCAGTTTTATTAAACTCATGACAAGAAATAATAGTATCCTGTAGGATACCCGGGTGTGGGGTGGGTTCAAGTTCTGATCAAGCAAGAACCATCATACTCATTATAGTGTACAAGCATTTTATGATACTGATGTTAACAGAGTATTTTTTTATTTCTGAGCATTTTATACAAGTTACCAACCAACCATATTGCAGGGACTCAAAACTGGTGTCACATGTTGAAAGAAAATTTTCCGAAGGGTGGACAACACAACTACAATGTAATCTATGGGGAACAGCTTTGCTGTGGGTAAAAAAATTCAGATTTCAGAATATTTTTTGACAAAAAAAATTAACAACCTACCTAATCCAGAATAAAAACATATAAATCTATTTCAGTGAGGAATGGGGTTTTATGAGATCTTCCCACGATTTTCTTTATTTACGGGGAAAACCTTTCAGTTACAGGAGGGATTCAGTTGTTTTTTTTTGGGGGGGGGGGGGGCATTTTCTGCTACTTTTTCATTTAAAAAAAATCTTATTGGGGGATGTCCCATGATCCCTCTAAATCTGCTCCTATAATTATTTTCAGATATTATCTTTCATTTTAATTAAAACATTTTTATTGTTTCTTAACTTTTGGTGATTGAAGTATATTCGTGCTACACTTAGCATTGCTGAATACCGAAATTTTTCATGTAAAATTCATTTATAATGTATCCATGGTTACCACCTATTTACATAAATCTTCTAAATGATTTCTTTGAAGCATTTATGGCAAAAGAATGCATTTTGAGTATGTTTGTAAACTAACGTAATGACTGTATTCGTGTTTCTATAGGTTCATTGTTCAAAAGTAGGTGATATTCTCAATTTATACTGTTTCCATGGCAGCCAACACTTATAGTAACCAAAATTTAATATTTTTCCCCTTCAGTTTATTCAGTTATTAGTTTATTTCCCTACTTAATTAGGTTTATTTAAAACCATTACAGAAGTTTCTACTTTACATTGTTCGTTTGACACTTAATCAGAGTGAACACAATACGTCCCAATAATGACCTTAATTTTTCAATTTTCCCATGTATAAATTTTTCTAAACTTTTTGTTATATATTCAGATCATATCATAGATTGATTAAAACTAAGTTTTGAAACTGTTGCAATTAGTTCACATTTTGATGGAAAATTTGATAATTTGACTAGACTACTAGTATATCTGATTCAAATGAATGTAAAAATTATATGTGCCTTAGGTCACTCTGTAAATAAGACCATACTCCTTGCTTCAATATGATTGAGGTAGCATCTTAGACACAGTAAAAGGTATTTGTTCTAGGTCACTGCACAAGAAAAATTGGAATGATGTAAGCTATTTTTCTTGCAGACACTTCAGAATTATAAAAAACATTGACCCATGATCGCAAAATTTATTTGAATTTGTGTCAACCCAGTGACTCTATTATTAGTGATGTAGACCATAGAGAGTCGTACGACAGACATCCTAATTGGTTAATTTCCATACATTGCTAATTAGTTAATTTTTTGTCCTGAACTGACTCCATCTTCATTTACATAGACAATTGGATTACATCAGATATGTCTCAGTTATTGTCACACTGGTACATTACACTACTCTCTCCTAATGTTAAGTACTTAAAAACTTCAATGTTTGCCTTCACATAACCTGTGACCCCCACTGTAATATATATCCTCTTTATTACATGT